TTTTCACTGTGTTTAAGATATAGGAGCAATGTTCTAAACATGTGTTAAACATGCTTTACCAGTTTTTAGCATTGTCTATCTTAAGATGTTGTCGACATCTGGATTTTATTCGGCAACGCGCTTCCTCTCCATGCATCGTCCTCCACAGATCTAGCATTCCTCCCCTTCCTCGGCTCTGCGGGGGGGCCTTTGGTTCCGTACATCTCCCGGAGGCTCCTCTGCGGCAGCCGGTTCCTCGGCTCCCGGCGCCCCCGCGCCGCTCGGCCGGCCACGCCCTCTGCCGGCAGCTCGCCCGCGAACCCCGAGGCGGCCCTCGTCGAGCGGACGGCCCAGGCGGTGCCCTCCTCCTGCGCCTGCTGGTGCTGTGTGCTCCCTGTCCTCCTCCTCCTCCTCCTCCTCCTCCTCCTCCTCCTCCTCCGCCTCCTCCTGCTCCTCCTCCTCATCCTCCTCCTCCTCCTCCTCCTCTTCCTCCTCCTCCTCCTCCTCCTCCTCCTCCTGCTCCTCTCCTCCTCCTCCTCCTGCTCCTGCTCCTCCTGCTCCTCCTCCTCCTCCTCCTCCTCCTCCTCCTCCTCCTCCTCCTCCTCCTCCTCCTCTCCTCCTCCTCCTCCTCCTCCTCCTCCTCCTCCCCCCCTCCTCCTCCTGCTCCTCCTCCTCCTCCTGCTTCCTCCTCCTCCTCCTCCTCCCTCCTCCTCCTCCCCCTCCTCCTCCCCTCCTCCCGGTCCTCCTCCTCCCTCCTCCTACCTCCTCCTCCTCCTCCTCCTCCTCCTCCTCCTCCTCTTCTCCTGCTCCTCCTGCTCCCTGCTCCTCCTCCTCCTCCTCCTCCTCCTCCTCCTCCTCCTCCTCCTCCTCCTCCTCCTCCTCCTCCCCTCTTCCTTTCAAGCAGCTGGCCGCACACGCTCCAGGAGCTTGCCCCCGGACCCCGCCGGAGGCGACGCCAACAGAGGGGGGTGTCCAAGAGGGGGGGGTGCAAATCATGACCGGTGGCATGTGCGCGGCCCAGCGGGGGGGCCAGGGACGTAATGAAATAAGAAGAGGCGCCATAATATCTGGGGAAATATCATGGCCCCCGCCATGATATCCCCCCCCCTAGTCATTACCCCCCTCTTTTCCGCCCCCGATCGCTCAGGTCTTGAGCCCGCACCGAGCCGGGCGCAAATCAAACACACACACACACACACACTCCGCCTCCTCGTCATCCTCTTGCGGGCACGCCACCGGGGAGTGTCCGCGCTCGTCGTCCGGCCGCAAGGCCAGGGCGTGCTCTTCTCCTGCTCCTCCTCCTCCTCCTTCTGCGCACCCTGCCAAGACCGGACGGAAGAAAGGGCACACCACCACTCTATATGGGGAACGTCGGCTCAGTGGACCCGCGGCACTGCCACACATGGCCCGCGCCTCGGTCCCCGTAGGCCCTCATCCCAGCGCCAGCAAATCAAGGTCAGTCGCGGCGAAATTGACAGCGCGTTCCAGGTGGGATTGCCCATGCTCGTTCTCCTACTGTTCCTCCTCCTCCCCCTTCTCCTCGTCATCATCAGCATCATCATCAGCAGCATCATCATCAGCATCATCACCATCATCAGCATCAGCATCAGCATCAGCATCAGCATCATCATCATCATCATCAGCAGCAGCATCAGCATCAGCATCAGCATCAGCATCAGCATCATCATCAGCAGCATCATCATCATCACCATCATCATCAGCAGCAGCATCATCATCATCAGCATCATCATCATCAGCAGCAACAGCAGCATCATCATCATTACCACAATCATCACCACCATATCCTCCTCCTCCTCCTCCTCCTCCTCCTCCTCCTCCTCCTCCTCCTCCTCCTCCTCCTCCTCCTCCTCCTCCTCCTCCTCCTCCTCCTCTCGCCAGCATCTCTCTCAGCGTGCCTAAGGGCTGGACCAGACGGGGGGTCCGAGGCCAGAGCCTGCTGAGTAAGATGGAGGAGGCCGAGGGGCAGCAGCAGGCGGACAAGCAAAGGAGGAGGAGGAGGAGGAGGAGGACGACGACGCACGCCTCTGGAGCACAGTTCGATGCCTGGGCAGACTAGGTGCTCTCGGACCGGCTTACAGCCGAAGATTGCGTGCATGCGCACGCCCTATGAGGATCCACAACTTGTCAGCAGTTGCATCCGACCCTCAAGCAAAGCAGTCAAGCTACCAACGTGGAGTAGCCCCCACTGCACCAACAGGCATTGAAACGGAGGAGGAGGAGGAGGAGGAGGAGGAGGAGGAGGAGGAGGAGGAGGAGAAGAAAGAGGAGGATGAGGACCAAGACGAGCAGGGGGAGAATGACGAACGGGGGCGGCGACAAAGAGGACGAGGCAGCGACAGAGGGAGAGGGATAAAAGAGGTGGAGGAGGAGGACAGGTGAGGAGCAAGGTGAAGGAGGTAGGGGAAGCGAGGAGTATACGTGCTGCCCGTCAACTTGTTCAAAAGATGTGCGCGGAGCTGAGGCGAGAGCAAAATTCTGAAAGCGACCATGAGACGATTGCCAGCTTCAAGCTCCAGGCTTACAACGCTGAGGAATATCAGCACAAACGCCCGTCCCGACCTCATTACCGACACGCCTTGGGGCGTAGAGGAGCCATGTACCAAGAGAAAGGGATGGAGGAGCAGAAGGAAGAGGAACGGCGGGGGGGACCAGGGGGGGAGAGTGAAGAGAAGAAGGAGGGTGGGGGAGAGACAGGCTGAGGAGGAACGCGGGAACAAGGGGGCGAGGCGGCGCTCCCGTTGACATCATGCCAGTTCACGTCGAAGAACGGCGCCAGGTAGCCTGGCTCGTCGACTCCTCCCCCGCCCTGCCTCTGGATCGAGGATGGGGCTCAGGAGCATCGGGGCTCGATGATCGAGGATCGAGGGGGAGGAAGGGGAGGCGAAGGAGAAGGAGGAGGAGTTCCCGATTCCCTCCCCCCAAGGACCACTGCCCGTTTGTCTCCCTTCCTGCTGCTGTTCCGCCTTACCATCCATCCTCCGCCCCTCCCTCGTCGACAATTACTCAATATGAATACTACTCTCCTCCTTCCCCTGATGACTGGTTGGGAGTGTTCGCCCCCCCCCCGCGCACTCTTTTTTTACACACAGGATTCCCCGGAGTTGGGTTTTCGCCTGCATTTCTTTTCGAAATGCTGCTCTCGCTGAAGCGCCGGCCTCATTTTCGGGCCCCGCTCGTTCCGAATCGTGCTCCCGCTGCTGCGCTGGCCTCATTTCCGTGCTTCCGCTCGTTCCGAATCGTGCTCCCGCTGCAGCGCTGGCCTCATTTCCGCGCTTCCGCTCGCTCCGAATCGTGCTCCCGCTGCAGCGCTGGCGTCATTTCCCGTGCCATGCCACGGCATGCAATGCAATGCTAGGTTGCGTTCCGTTGCGCGATGCCATGCCTTCAGCTGAAGCTGTGATATGCAGTGCTTAAGTGCCACGTCGTGCTGTGCCATGCTACGCTTTGATCTTCAACGCCATGCTATGCAATGCTATGCTCGGGGCCGCTGTGCGATGCCATGCTTTGCGTTGCAAAGCTTTGTGATGCAATTCTTCACTACGCCACGCCACGCCATGCTGTGACATACTACGCTTTGCGGTGCTCTTCTACGCCATGCCATGCCGTGCTCTACAATGCATCGCTTACCCTTTCGGGATCATTGCCCTGCTCGACATCCGACTGTGCGAGTAGAGAGGGGATCTACGCCATGGTAAGGGATGGGAGGGAGGGGTAGGATTTCCGATATGACGCGAGCGCACCTAGCTTGTCCCATTCCCCCTCCTCCCCCTCCTCCTCCTCCTCCTCCTCCTCCTCCTCCTCCTCCTCCTCCTTCTCCTGCTTCTCCCTTCTCCCATCCTCGTCCTGCTCCTCCTCATCTCCTCGTATCAGAACTCTCCTCTCTCAACCAGCCCTACTCCTCATCCTCGACATCATTACCACCATCATCAGCCTCCGCCGCTATTTCCTCCTTCTTCTCCTGCTCTACCATATCGCACTCGCCACCCATGGAAGGGGGAGAGGAGGAGGAGGAGGAGGAGGAGGAGGAGGAGGAGGAGGAGGAGGAGCAGGAGCAGGAGCAGGAGCAGGAGCAGGAGTAGGGGCGCGCAACCTCCCTCCACAGACCGCACGCCAAGCGGACATGCGACGCGGAAGGGAGAAGGAGACGAAGGAGAAGGAGGAACAGAGAGGTGGCCAGGGGAGGAGAAAATCGGTGGACAAGGGATGAGGTGGAGGAGGAGGAGGAGGAGGAGGAGGAGGAGGAGGAGGAGGAGGAGGACCCGTGAGGAGGAAAGGGATGAGAGGAACTCACTGAGTCTGCTGGTGCAGCGTGGCGCTGCCGATAAAACATCTGGACCCCCCAATGGCTATGGCCTCGCCTCCAGCTGGCTGGGCCGAACAACGACGCAGGCACGGGTGCGCGTCTGACAGCGCTGGGGCGCTCTCTTGCCCTTGAAGACGGCGTTCGGGATCACTTGGGGATCTACTGACCCGGGTCAATGCAAACCCGGGTCAATCGGGCGTTGCAAGATACTGCGAGATCCTGTCGATCCTGCAGGATCCTGCAAAATCCAGCGCTCTGGCTGATCCCCATTTGCATCGATTCTCGTCCCTTGAGTCCCGAGTTGGGGAAACCAAACGGTACCCATACCGCTACTCCCTGGACCTCTCCCGAGGTGCGTTTTGACCAGAATTTCAAGGCGAATCCAGCGGTGGCCACGAGGGCCTCCACGGAGGCCCTTCAAACGGGAAAACGAGGCAAGGGTAGCGGTATGGGTACTCCAGATTTCGTAATAAAGGGAGGGGGGTCTCATTTCGAGGGGGGGGGTCTCTTCCAGGCTATCTTGGAGGGCCTGGGGGGTCTGGGGACGGTGTTTTGGAGGGTTCTCCCACGGGGGAGGTCTGAAATGGCTCGTCTTGGAGGGTCCAGACCCCCTCCCTTTTATTACTAAATCTGGAGTGCTTCTTCCTCTCCGGCGAATCACGAAGCCCACCCACGAAGAAGATGCCGAGGAGCACAATCATGCACGGCCAGCCGGGAGGGCGAGTCCGCCGCGAGGGCCCTCTGCGAGGACAGCCGGGGCGCCGCACGGCTCGCAGCCGCTGCCGCCTGGCCCCGTGCCGGCGCCAGCGTCGGGACTCCCCAACTCCGTGTGGTGACGAACGCGCGGTGACCTCGCTACGGGCGGAGGAGGAGGAGGACGAGGAGGAGGAGGAGGAGGAGGAGGAGGAGGAGGACCAGTGTAAGCCCAAGACTGATCAACGATGCTGGCATAAACCCTCCCTCCAAGCTCCCTCGAAAATCCGCGAGACCCACCGCGCGGTCCGTCACCGCTCGGCCTCGGGACCTCGGAGGCCCCGGGTCGCCCGAGACGTCCTCGGAGAACGGCCCCCGGGTGCCGGAACCGCGCGGCGGCCCCGCACCCCCACCGACTCAACACGCGGCGCGGCAACCAGGCCGCCCGAGGGCCCCCGAGGAGAGTGCCTCGTAGGCGGCACCGCGCAGCGCCACCAGTGAAGGCCGGCGCATCGACCCAGGCGGCGGCCACCACCGACGCGAGGGCGAGAATGGCCAGCGAGCGCGGGACGCGCGGGCGACCGCCATTGGTCTCTGAGCGGGCGCTGCGGGAGGCTGCTTTGCAGGGGCACGCTTCCAGGCCGGAGGGGCCTGGGCTAAGATGGCAGTGGAGGGGGGAGGGAGGAGGAGGAGGAGGAGGAGGAGGAGGAGGAGGAGGAGGAGGAGGAGGAGGAGGAGGAGGAGAGGAGGAGGAGGGGGAGAGGAGGAGGAGGAAGAGGCGGAGGATGAGGAGGATGAGGAGGAGGAGGAGGAGGAGGAGGAGGAGGACGAGAAGAACGAGGAGGAGGAGAAGGAAGAGAGGAGGAGGCCTTGAGATAAACCAGCGATGCTGCAACACAGCCGAACAAATGATCAAGAAAACTAGAATTTAAGAGCTGGGCCAGCTTCCCGGATGTTTCTTGAAACATGCCCGAGCCAACTTGTTTGTTCACGCTGGAAGGGCAAATTTGCTCACGAAGCTGGGCCAGTTTTTTCCAGTAGGTTGGTCCAGAAACGTTGACCACGCCTCTCGCGAGGAAGCCTCTGAATCAAAGAGAGAGCGTGATCCACCGCCGCTTTACTGTGGAAAATTCCCCCCCTCTTCCGCCTCTCCCCTCCGAGCGTGATCCACCGCCCCTTTACTGTGGAAAATTCCCCCCCTCTTCCTCCCCCCCCCCCCCCCCCCCCCCCCCCCCCCCCCCCCCCCAGCCCCCCCCCTCCCCCGGAAAACCGGGGGGGGTCACTACCGGTTCGAACCCCCCCCCCCTCCGAAACCGGGGGGGTGACTACCGGTTCGAACCCCCCCCCCCAAAGAAAACCAAACGGGGGTCACTACCGGTTCGAACCCCTTCCCCCCCCCCCTCAAAACCGGGGGGGGTCACTACCGGTTCGAACCCCCCTCCCCCCCCCTCCAGAAAACCGGGGGGGGGTCACTACCGGTTCGAACCCCCCCCCCCCCCCACGCTCACCGCCAGCAAACGACTCCCTGGTCCCTACCACCGTCCGCACCACATCCCCCACTGCTGTCCCCAGCACCACTGTCCTCACCACCACTGTCCCCACTGTTCCCACCACCGTCCCCACTGTCCCCACCATTGCCCCCACCACTGTCGCACTGTCCCCACTGTCCCCACCACTGTTCCCACCACGGTTCCACTCTCCCCACTTTCTCCACGGCCCCAACCACTGTCCCACTGTCCCCACTGTCCCACTGTCCCCGCCGCTGTCCCACTGAGCTGTCCCACTGTTCCCACCACTGTCCCCACTGTCCCCACCACTGTCCCCACTGTTACCTCTGTCCCATTGTCCCACCGCCGTCCTCGCCACCGCCCTCACCACTGTCCCCACCACCACTGTACCCTCCACTGTCCCACTGTTTCCGCCACATTCCCACTGTCCCCACACCACTGTCCCCACCACCACCGTCCCCACCACTGTCCCACTGTCCCCACTGTTCCCACAATTGTCCCCGCTGTCCCCACCAGTGCCCCCACCAGTGAGTGTCTCACTATCCCCACTCTCCCCACCATTGTCCCACCACGGTCCCACTCTCCCCACTTTCCCCACTTTCCCCACCACTGTCCCAGTGTCCCCACTGTATCCACCACTGTCCCACTGTCCCCGCCGCTGTCCCCTGTGCTGTCCCACCGTGCCCACTGTCCCCATCACTGTCCCACTATCCCCACTATCCCCACCACTTTCCCCACTATACTACTATCCCACCACTGTCCTCACCACCGCCTTCACCACTGTCCCCACCACTGCCGTCCCCACCACTGTCCCACTGTCCCCACCACTGTCCCGCTGTCCCCTCACCACCGTCCCCACCACCACCGTCCCCTTCACTGTCCGCACCATTGTCCCACTGTCCCCACACCACTGTCCCCACCACCACCGTTCCCACCACTGTCCCAGCATCCCCACCATTGTCCAACTGCCCCGAGGAGCGGGAATCGATTGCCTGCGGCGAGGGGGGGTGTCCGAACTGGTAGAGACCCCCCGGTTTTCGAGGGGGGGGGGTTCGAGCCAGTAGTGACTCCCCCCCCTTTTCATGATGGACTGGGGGGGGGTTCGAACCAGTAGTGACCCCCCCCCGGTTTTCGAGGGGGGGGGGGGGGACGGGTTAGGAACCCCCAGTGACCCCCCCGGTTTTCCGCCAGCAGCGGTAGAACACGCTCTTTCGAATCAAATGTTCGACTGTGTGCGTGGGCCAACCAACCAAACGTCACCGATACCGCTACTTCCTGGACCTCTCTTGGTGTGCCTTTTGACCAGGATCTCGAGGCGAATCCAGCGGTGGCTACGAGGGCCTCCCAGGAGGCCCACACCGGGGACAACGAGGGAAGGGTAGCGGTGTGTGTGTGTGTGTGTAAGTTTTCCTCCTTTGAGTCTGCTCGGAAGTGCACCCTCCCGTCCCAAGCCCCCTCCCCATTGCGCCCTGCAGGCATCCTGCTTCACTCTACGAGGCGCCCCCCCTTGGCAGGCGGGCATTCTGGCGGCCAGCCACTCCTCCTCCTCCTCCTCCTCCTCCTCCTCCTCCTTCTCCTCCTCCTCCTCCTCCTCCTCCTCCTCCGCCTCCTCCTCCTCCTCATCTTCCTCCTCCTCCTCCTCCTCCTCCTCCTCCTCCTCCTTCTCTTCCTCCTCCTCCTCCTCCTCCTCCTCCTCCTCCTCGTCCTCCTCCTCCTCTGGGTATTGTTTAACCGACCCCCTTCCCCATGGGCGTGGCATAGGCCCCACTGGCCGAGTTACCCCCCCAGATACGGATAAAGGCGGTATCCTTCAGGTTTCGAGCCAACTGGGATGCAGAGATGGTGGTGGAGATAGGGGTCGGTTAAATGATACTGACTACAAGGATCGCGACAAGGTGGAACCATGAAGTCAAACGCCATGTCGAACGACAACCCCGCTTTGAGAAGGAGCTGGCCTGCATCTGTGTGACTGGCGCACGATTGTAAAGTGCGCGCCTATATGAATAAGCTAGAAGGAAACTGAAACTAGAACTGCAATTTGAAACAGAGCAGCCCTCCACCCGTGAAGCTATAGCACACCGTGATACTCCGATCCATATGTTCGACGTAATCCGTCGACCTCATGTGCCGTGGTTGAGAAGGCGTGTGAAACATGTGGCTGTCCCCCTCTCCCGCTTTCCCCCTCCCATGGGGCACAAAATCTCATTGAAGGGGCGTGTGGGGGGGGTCACGAACTCGTCGACGCGCCCCTGGGGCCTCCTGAGCCTCGAGAAAGTTCCAAGACGGCCCCGGAGAGCTCCGACAGAGCGCAAAGACAGTCCAAGAGAGCGTGGAAGAGGCCCAGGGTAGACCCTCGACGGACCGAAATGGCTTCAAGACGGCCAATGAAGCCTTCAGGACTGCCCCAGAGCACTCCCAGAGGACCGCCGAGAGGGCCCTTAGAAACAACAAATCATCCCATTCTCTGTGGGGAACGTCCGCCGACTCCCGCTTGCCAGGGGTGACAAGGCGTGTGGGACAGTTGGCTGTTTCCCTGGCCCTTTCCCCCTCCCCCAGGGCCCAAAATCCGATTAGAGAGGGGGGCGGGCGAGAACGTCAACCATCCCGGGGGCTCTCCAGAGCCCCCCAAAAGGCCCCAAGGCAGCCCAACAGGGCCCAGATAGAGCGCCAAGACAGCCGAAGAGAGCGTCATGACGGCCAAGGGTAGCTCCACGACGGTCCAGGATTGCTGAAAGATGGCCCACGAGGCCCCCAAGATATCCCAAAAACTCCTCCAGAGGATCGCCGAGAGGGCCTCATGAGTTCAGAATCATCAAATTCCCTTGGAAAGACGTGCATTTTGAGTACATTCGCATTTTGCGTTTTGACAGCGAACACGACGGCCCAAGTGGCCCACAGGATCGCCTCAAGACGGCCCAAGATGCCTCCAAGAAGGCCCCAAGACTGCCCAAGAGGGCCCAAAGATAACCCCAGGGCTTCCCAACACGGCCCAAGGCAGCCCCTGGAGGACACCAGGAGGGCTCCAAGAAAGCCCAAGAGGGGAAATACGAACTCACATTTCGAGCCTTTCCCACCGAGATGGCTCCCGAGCTCCCCAGAGGCCCCCGAGGGCCCTCCAAGAGGCCCAAAACGACTTCCAAGACGCCCCAAGAAGCCCCTCAAGAGTCCCCCACGAAGCCTGAAAAAAACGTCCCACAAGTCCCCAAGATATTTCAAGAGGCCCCAGTGCGGCATCCCAAGAGACCATCAGGTTCATCCAGGAGGCTCCTGACCCAAGAAATAACTTCGACAATCGTCTCAATCACTCACTCCTTGTTGGGGGTCGGCAGAATGGCGTAAGCCCCTTTAATATACTTGTGACGCATCTATGGTCTTGACAGCGGCCAAGGCGGCCCAAGGGGCCCCCAAGATCATCCAAAGACGGCTCTTGAGGCCCCCAAGGAGCCCCAGGACGGCTCTGAGGGCCAGAGGGCAAAACGAACTGGAATCTCGAGCCTTTCCCCCCAAGGTGACTTCGAAAGCCCCCCAGAGGCCCCCGAGGCGCCACCAAGAGGCCCCCAAGAGGCCTACGCCGCCGCAGGAAATCCACACGCGCAGATCACTGCCGACAAAAAACACCAGGCGTGCGGACAAGCCCGATGGAGTAGCAC